AAAAATACTACTAATCAAATATAAAAAACAAACAGTTTAAACAAAAAATAAGAAATAAAAACATATTCTTTTACTTTTTATAAATAAAATAAAGATATAGATTACATATTATATATGATATTAATATAAGAAAATTTTAAAAAGAATTTTGCTTGGAATTATACATTTTTTAAAATAATATAAATGTATTGCATCATCAGATCTATTTTATTTTTCTATAATATTTAGAAATATATCTTTGTATATATAAGAATTAAAAACTAAGATAATGAAATGTACGTTTACATAGAAGTTTTTTTGCATTAAATTCTTATAAATATACCTTATTTATTCTATAAGGATTCTCATAACAATATTAGATTACAAAGTTATAAAAGTATCCATCAATCTTTTTTTCATAAACATATTCACATACTTATATGTCTGAAATTTTAAGTATGGATTTAATTATAAAAAAAATAAATCCAATTTGTGCAAGTTGTTTTAAATAAAAAATTTTATTTACCATTATTTGAATTCAACGTTAAGAACAAAATTGCATAGAAACAAATATAATTATACATTATATATAAAAATTAAATCTGATTTAAAATGGGTGGGATATGATTTTTTAAAAAATTTAAATAATCTGATCCAAATTCTATAGGAAACTAATAAAAAAATTCTTTTAGAAAAATATTATATTCTCATTATCCAGGATATCCGAATAAAACTATAATAATAATAATAATATAATATAATATAATATAATATTATTGTTATTATTCTATGGCTGAATTAAGAGATACCATGAGTTTTAAATAGCATATGAAGCTATTTTTCAGAATTTTGAAACTTCCATATCACATTATTCAAATAAATCTTTATTCAAATAAATCTTTCGATTGGTATATTATGTTTTTTTTTTGCACAATTTCTTAAGAACTTATTGCTAAAAAATGATTATTAATTTACGACATTTTAAAAAAGTTTTTCTTGATTACGTATATATGATAATTCAGTTTCATTTTCAACATTTTCCTAAATTTACTGTAAAACATGAAATTCAAATTCAGTTTTGAATTTTCAAAAGATCTCTTGAATTCTTGAATTCATATGTAAGACAGGGAAAACTCTATATCTATAAAACTATCACGGATGTAATAGTTACCAAAGATTAATGTTGACCCCTTATCAAAAACGAAATACACAATCAAAATACTGGAAAAACAAAAAAAAATATAGAATCAAAAGAAAAATCACAGAACAAATTAAAATCGGATTGCAAACCTGAACTTGTAGGAGTAGACCTTTGATTTCAAGCACTTTCCAACACCAAAATATATAATTGGTTGATAGTTGTATTGCTGATACGAACGTTTAGAGCACATAAGCACCATTTATAGTTTAGAGTTTATTAATTGAACTCATTCTTTTTCAATGAAAGGAGCACTATCTATTGACTAAATTTAATATGCATTAATAAAAGTTGAGAACACCACGTTTCAAATATTTACACGTTATAAATTAGTAGACCATTTGCATTAATTTCTTGTAAATATGACACGTGTCACTCCCATATGATTCTACTGTACTTTTATATATATATAAGATATATATATATATATATATTAATTATTGGCAAACGGGTGTTGTGAATCAAAACCTAAACAGACAGGATCAACTACCCCTTTCAAAATTGAGATTCGAATTCTTAGATATGGAAACGTTTTACACTCCATTTCAATGATTGAGCTATCCAAATTGGGGTTACGATATATAAATAAATATATAAGAGATTTTTATAATCTCATAGAATTGTTAATCTAAAACCTAAATTTATAACGTTTATTCAAAATGAATAATTCATAACTTAGTATCATCGCCCATTCTTTACACAAACAAATACCATCGTAGATGAATAATTGTGTGAAAGGTTAAAGCATGAATGTGTAAGTATGTACTAATCCAAACTTGCAAATTAATGCAAACAGCTCATTAAATCGGTTATAATTTATGTTATAGTATCTCCTACTCGGACAGTAACTATAATAACTATAGAATTACAATGCTCAACAAAACCCCCAATTTCATTAGATAAAAAAAATGTTCTATCAATTGGGATCTATCTAATACCATGATAAATTATCAATTAATTGCTATATAGTTATTATTGATAATTGAATGAGTTTAGATATTGATAACATAGTTTTTTTATTAAAAATATTTTAATAAGAATATATCTTTTAATATAATAATCTTTGCAAAATATGACAAGTAAATAGCTAAACGTTTATTTTGATATAATTGATACATCAAATGTTGAAAAGTTCCAAAAGGATATTTAACTCAAGAAATCGATTGTAATTCACAACCTCGATCTTGGAAAAGATGTATAAATTAGAGAATAATTCATAACATAAAAAACGAATCGATATTATAAATTGCTTTAGATTTCATGAGTCATGGTATTAATTTAGAATATTTTAAGATTTGAGTTATTAATTTAGAACATTTTAATATTTGAAATAGAAATTAAATCAATTAAAAGTTTAGGTATTTATTTGATATATTTGTAAAATTGGGGTAAATTTTCCCAATGACAAAATCAAATCAAATATGAAAGATTGTAATATTATTATGTAAACATAATTTCTCCGGAATTCTCAATGATACATATATGCGATTGGTAAAATCATATGCATCGTCTTCATCTTTCGTGTTTCAGTAATCATAGACTTAGACATACATATCATGCGCATGATCTCGTATTCGCCAGATTTATTAAACCATTTAAATGTTGGACAATGTTAGAAAATATATATATGTATATATAATTGTTACAAAACATATATAGAAATGTATAGCTAGCGTAATTAGAGATGCACGCACCATGTATATGATGATCGAAGTACGAGAGTTGTCTACTTTGGCATATAGATCTGCATGTTTTTCTTTCTTAATTTGAAGACATATTTTCGAGAGAAAAAAAAAGGTTTTAAAATCATTTTATGTACCATTTTCAAGTGGATTTATCGTAAAAAAAACGAGACATTGACCATTTTCAAGTAGATAACCCTAATTATATATACATGATATTACATATATACCCTCTTATACTCTCTATATATAAAAAAATACCCCGAATCACTTCGTGTGTGTATATATATTGAAGTTGTTTTCAGCCACTTCGTAACTCCAACAAACAAAATCATATTTACACGCATACTTAAATTTTGAGTAATTATGTGAACCCTAGCTAACTTCTGCTGGATACGAATCCAAATTAAAAAAAATGTCTTAGTGTATATTAATTAATTAAGTTACTAGCCAAGTGTATATCCATAAGTATATATATATATATATATAACTTTAATACGTGGAACTAATTCTTGATGGTGACGGGTCAATTTTTTTTCTCTAAATATCCGGTAGTGAACTCAATGGATATTGCTTTTAGAACTTAAAATAATCAGACCCGTATGCCTAAGGTTATTCTATTGAATGTGCCACTTATCGAGATCTTTAATATGATACAGAAAAAAATGTTTAATCACTATAGGATTGTTACTAGCCATATATAACTAATTCATATTGTATCATTGAAGATCTCTATGTATATATATATTATATATATAAGCAAACACAAAAATCTAGGTTTTGTACGGATGCAGTGGTCGAGTTATGGATCGACACCAAAAAGCAACGTATACATGAAGGGCACGAACCTAATTAGTTGATAATATAATTAACGAAAACAAAGGAACGAACTTTAGATAAAATTTAATCCGCGGGGTACAAAGTCGATAATGTAATTAACGAAAGCATCGAACCAAAAGACGAAAAATAATTAGGACCGTATGGTACATGTTCCAAAAAAGCGAGAAGTACCATATTATTATAACGCGTGTGCATATTATAGTTTCAATTTTTTTAAAAAAAAAAAAGAAAAGAAAAAGACATGTTCATATGAGAAGCACTCACTTTTGGAAGCATGCTTGGGTTAAGGAAGCCCCATGATTTAGGACAACCACCTTAATTATATCGTGAATTATTATATTTAAAAACCATTCTTTAATTAATAAATTATAATAATTTACAGGCAAATCATTTATTGTATGTATATATATATATATATGTGTAATTGGTTGATAACAACACCACATTCCGGTCTTTGTTAATTAATCCAGAGACTAAAAAAATTTCATATGCATGATTACGTTTCAAAATCGTATATCCTTAATTATGAGAAGCATTAATAATAAGGTGACGGAATAAAACTTATTACTTTGATTTTAATAGGGTATATGTTAAATTAATATTATTGTCATTATTTTTATATGAATTAGTTTAAATAATTAAAACTAGCATTCATTTTGAGGTGTCATGCATATGCATCTGTATTTTAACAACTATATCTATACACAGTTGATATAGACCCATACATCATTCAGATGCAAATCATGATAGTAACATACATTTTAAAAATCAATATATATATATATATATATGTATATATATATATATATATATATATACATATTAGGATCTTATAGTCACTTTGTTATGAAAGCGCTATATATATAATAACATTTTGGATAGACCCTAATGAAAAGGATCGTTATTATCACATTTATTACTTTAAATTTTTTTCATTTTTATTTAATAATTACAACTTATTGTTATGAAGGGTCCTATTTCCGTGACGTCCATGGCCAACGCGAAATTGATTGGAAAGCAACTCTAATGTCAGGCAGAAGCGCACAAAGAAAAATAATAATGACAAACATATATATTAAAAATAAACCAAAGAAATTATGTGTTGTCCAACGCTATCAAGACATTTGCCTTTTACGCGTTCTCATGAATATTTTTATAACACAACGGGGTTTTAATATATTTTATGTAATTAAATGCCGGTGGAACTCAATTTGTCAAATGAAGCCCAATTAAGGTAACAACTAAGACCCATTAAAGCCCAATTAAGGCCCATTATATGCCGGGTCGGAATTCATTTTTTCATTTTTTTTTAAATAATTCAATTGGATTTTTTTATTGATAAAAATAATCATTTTCTAAAAAAAATCTAAATTTTCACTTGTTTTTTTTATTTTATTTTTTTCGGATATAAAAAAAACATATCATTCGCAAAATTATACAGCATATACATTGGGTTCGACTATTCGGTTATTAACCAAATAGCCATCTTAGAAATACAAATTACAGTAAAAGGCCGAAACAAAGCTCCCATCGTCAAGCAGTGCTCTTTGCTAGTTGACCAGTAGTTCCTGTCCTAGATGGTTCCATTCCAGAACCGGACTGATCTGTTGGAGCCACAGGTGACTTCACGGGCGAATGCTCGATCCACCTCGTTGCACCGCTGCTGTTCTGGTGGTTCGACAGCCACCTTCTCTGCCGTCACCGAATCCCATACCACAACCTCATTGTTCGCTTCATCTGTGGACAGTACAAACTCTTCTGTCTCGTTGAAGACAGCCTGCGTTGCGTATAGTAATGTCTGTGTTCAATTCAAACACTCCTTTTCAGGTAGAGATATGTAAGAAAATTTCCCAGTTCAGGGTTTTCAGAGAATCTTCCGTTTTTTCGTCACCTGACACTGCAACTGTGTACGCCTCACACCGAGTATTCCTTCACCATCCTTCCCGTCCCGATTTCCCATATCTTCACCGTCGAATCTTTACTGCACGAGAGAATGAATCTGCGGAATCCATAAGATCGTTGATTCTTAAGCTCGGTAAGATGGATGGATGAAATCTAGTCTCTTTACCTCTGATCTCGGGTGAACGCTGCACTTGTGGCACCGTGAATGGAGCCGTACGCACTTTGCAGTGACCCCGTCCCATAATCGGATAGCTCTGTCTTTCGATGATGCTACATACATGGCCCCCGTTGAGGAATACCGAACCTTGAAAACCCGAGAATTTCGCATCTATGATCATCCCCGAGGAGATGTAGAACATATATGAAGTGTTTAATACCTGATTAATGGCTCCATTTGGACTGATATCGGCGAAACTTGCGGGAAGAATGCACTGGAAAGTGTTTACATCATATAGACGCGGAATTGGATGACCGGTTCCTGCAAACGTCTTATTTCAGTTTTCATAAAACAGTGAAGGAGAAATTATCCCAACGGAAAAAAAATCTCAATCTGATTACAGATACCTTGTGCTTTGGAAAAAATCTTTGATGATCCCTTCACGTGTGTAATACAAATTGGACGAAGTTAAAAACACCTGTTAGACTATACAGTTTTGATTTTAACAGCTAAAACTATGGTTATTGTGGGAGAGAAACATAAACAGATCAATCTGAAGTCAACAGAAGCTGTCCGGGGAGCCGGGAATGATCCATAAGACATGGACATTGACGCCCTCAGATCCAATAAAACCGAAGAAGAAACCCCTTGAAATGGCCCATTGTTCTCTACTGTAAGGCCCTGTGATGTAATCACGAGTGGGGCAAACGGAAGAGATCAACGGAGCAAAACACAACCAATTATATAACTATGAGTATTTTCGTGTTTCTTTATATTAATTAAATATATGAGTTTTTATATTAAATTTCTGAAAATTATGGGTAGAATATGTTAATAGGGTTTTATGGTTATAAACTTCTTATAAGAATCAAAACCTAAGAACAAACGGGTTTTTATCAAGTGAGTGAGATTGATCACTGTGAGGGGAAGGTAGACGATTCTCGAATATCGTCGGAGTTTACCATTTGCCTTGACTGCGGCGGTGTGGTGTTGTGTATTGGTGTTTGGCTTGAGTTTTCGAGTATGGTTGGTTGACAAATTGTAGGAATCAGATCCGAGTTCTATCAAACGTGGTATCAGAACCACCGATTCAGGTGTCCGTGGATTGAATATGTCAATCCAGACTCAATGTTCGGGAGGTGAATCGCAAACCTCTGAATCGGCGATGGATCTGTATGAAACTCGTGATTCACCTTCTGAACGTTGAGTCTGGACTGACATATTCAACCTACGACCAGTTGAATCGGTGGCTCTGATACCACTTTTGATAGAACCCAGATCTGATTCCTACAATTTGTCAACCAATCATACCCGAAAACCCAAGCCAAACACCAATACACAACACCACATGGCCGCTACCAAAGAAAACGGCAAACTCTGACAATAATCGAGAATCGTCTACACCACTCACAATGAAACCTTATTAACATATTCTACCCATAACTTTTAGAAATTTAAATATAAGTAAACCCGAAAATACCCATGGCCATGCTGGCTGTGTTTTGCTCCGTTGATCTCTCCCGTTTGCCCCACTCGTGATTACATCACCCTGTTCTCATCTCAGAACCAAACATTTCTCTTTTTGCTATTCCCTCACACACCATCCACACACATTCGTATGGTACACCCACAGAGAATGTAGTGCTTAGAAATGGACAAAAACCTTAGCAACAAGATCCAGAAGCCTGTTGGGAGAAGCCTCAACGTTCAATGGTGTCATTGTGGCAGAAGCAACCGCATTCGCTCGCAGCCTGCCAGTTAGGTCACAAGATCAAAACTTTCTTCTTTCAGATCCCAGCTTTCACTTTTTAACATCATGGGTTTCAATTTTTTGAGTTAAAGACGCTCCAATTAGAATCTAAATCAAACCAGCTACATGAAATTCCCAATTTTTCCCACGTGGGATTGAAAAGATACCTAAATAAGCAAATAATTTACAGAGGGGCAAATCGTTGTGTTCATATCAAAATCAATTATCCAACTTGAATTCAAACAACAAAACAATCGAAATAGATAGACCCATATGCCCAAATTGAGACATACCTGAGAGAGATTGTGGTGGCGAAGATGAGCGACGATGAGGGCATTGGGCTGTCTGAAGAGCTTCCCATCTTGCAGTGTGTTCTCCAAACCACTTTTTTTTTCCATTTTTGCACTAAAACCCTAACTCTCTCTCTCTCTCTCTAAAATCAAAAGAAGGCCGCCATTGCCGAGCTTTCTGCAACCAGTGGCTTCCTTGTGCACCCTCAAAGTACAAACCTATACGTACATGCCTATTAACATTTTACGTATATGCGCGTATGCTTGTATATCCTCGCACGCACGACACACGTGCGGAAATACAGAATGGGCTTAAATGGCAAAAAAAAAAGACTACTGGGCCTTATTTCATTAAAGACTTACCTATCTGAACGTGGGCCCAAAATGGGGTTGGGTGAGACAAATAGATTTAATTATTTCACTAAATATAAATATGATATAATTATTTCTTTTGCTTTTTTTTTCATTTATTTACAACATAACAAAAATTATTATTTTGCTATTTGTCGGTCATGGCAAAGATTTTATCCGATCTGTCGGTGAGGAGGCACTTTTACTTTTCTACGTAATAAACATGTTAAAGTTTTTTATAAAAAAAAATGTTAACTTATAACATGATATTGAAATCCTATCAATCTAGTTCAACATCGATTATTACGGTCCATTGATTTGGATACCTTTACATTGCATGTTTTAAAATTGAAATAAATGTTGGTTAATTTATCTTTTCAAAATCTGATTAAAATTAACTCAACAAATATCATATAAAAATTATTAAATATGTTTTAAAATTAAAGTAATTATAAAATAACCGAACATAACTCAAGCGTGTATGGTAAATACACTTTGTTATTATGGTAAAAAAAAAATTTAAAACATGCCGACAATTTTCCGGTTGGTAGCGAGTGTGACAATAATTAGAACATTAACATATTTGTCAAATTGATATGGTGGTTAGGACATGATCCCGAAATTTAAAAATATACCTACGTGGTGCCATATATATATATATATATATATATATACGCACACATTTGAAATATGATAGTAATACCAAAGTAAATATAACTGATTTTTCTTTCTATACCGTACAGTCTTATTTAACATGCATTATACCGACGAAGTTAACTGCAAATACACTTTTTTTTTTAAATTTTGAAATTCGCAATTATTATATGATTAAGAAAAATATAGATGGCCATACCCTTGCAGTATTATTGTACAATTTAATATTTAGAAAAAACGAAAGATTTTTAAATAATTTATGATAAAAATGAAATGCCAATGTAATTAATTTAAAAAAAAATTGTAAAATACGACTGCGCAAGTTTATAGTCCACCGACAGCCGAAGCATTGGTTGTGTCTGAGTTGTCTTCTTTGGAATTAAACTAAATCATTCTCTCTTTCCATTACAAAAAAAAAAACTCTCACCTTTTAATGTAAAAGAAAATATATACGAACTAATGAATTCAGGAATGAAATAGATTATGGGTTCATTTTAGTTCCTTTAAATACAATTTCACTAAAAAATTTACCAAAAAAAAAAATTCACCAAGGTTAATCAATGTTAGTCTAATAAAAAATATATACCCGATAAATAGGTTATTGTAAGGGTAGAAAGGTCAATTCATGATTGACCATTCAAATTTTACTAGAGAGCCACTGGTGAGATCCCAATTTTCTCGTGGTTTCTTCTGCAACTGCTTCTTTGTATAAGTCCACTCGCTCTTGAAGCAAAGCATCTTCTTCCTCTTCTCCATGTGTCATTGATTGAGATTCAGACACCTCTCTCTCTCTCTCTCTCTCTCTCTCTCTGTCTTGCTCTGGATCTAGGAAAGAATCTGGAACAAGCTCTGTTTCTGGTTCTGGTCTGAACAGCAGAATTGAAATGGAGACTTTCTTCTTCCCATTCACCTCCACAATCTCCAAGTTCGGTTTCTTGGCCATATGGGTCATGTTCTTGATTTCCTCTACTTCTTTTACTTCCACAGGTGAGTTACATCATGTTCTCCTCCATCGTATTTCTGCATCCAGTTTCTGTTTGCTCATCCCATGGTTTTCAAATTTTCTAGCTTTCTCGCCGACCAATCACCCCATTTTCTGGGTCAATGGTCCTGAATTTTCCCAAGAATGTAATGCGTCGGTTGGATGTTTTCTCGTTTCTATATTTGGCGTTTGGTTGAATTTCTTGCCGGAATGGGTTCCTGAATCATCGCTTTGCATAGTGATTTCCACTGGATGCTTGGATTTTCTGATTTAAACGTGGGAACTTTGTGACAAGTTCGATCACCACATCAGCTTGCGTGATGGGCAAATAAACTGAATTCAATGTCTGATAAGAAACAGAACTGGATCAAGAGAAACAAAGTTGAGAGATTTATCTGTGAAAATTCTTCCTGCAGAAGCGTATGATGCTCTTGATCCGGAAGGCAACATTACAATCAAATGGGATGTCATGAGTTGGACGCCTGATGGCTATGTTGTAAGTTTCTTGTTTTCTCATACAGCGTCTGATTCAAGAACAAGAAAAGATCCTGTCTTTTTTATTACCGGTTTAGGTCCATATAAGGTGGAAAGGCATATATCCCGATCGAGTTTGCAGTTCTGAGTCCTGTCGGATTTTGATCTTTTCCCCTTTAGGCCGTTGTCACGATGTATAACTTCCAGAAGTACAGACACATTCAATCTCCGGGTTGGACAATGGGCTGGAAATGGGCAAAGAAGGAAGTGATATGGAGTATGGTCGGAGGGCAAACCACCGAGCAAGGTGACCTTTCCGGAAACATATCCGATGGGTTCTGCCAGATGATTTCCGGGTGTTAGCTATCCAAAAGATGCAAACTTTATTACTTTTTTTTTACCTTAACAGGCGATTGCTCGAAGTACAAAGGAAACACCCCGCATTGTTGTAAGAAAGATCCGACCGTTGTGGATTTGCTCCCGGGAACTCCCTACAACCAACAGATCGCAAACTGCTGCAGAGGCGGTGTCCTGAACTCGTGGGTTCAGGACCCGTCCACAGCGGCTAGCTCGTTCCAGATCAGTGTTGGAGCGGCTGGAACCACTAACAAGACGGTTCGGGTCCCGAGAAACTTCACTCTCATGGCCCCGGGACCGGGCTACACTTGCGGGCCGGCAAAGGTAGGGAGACCGACCCAGTTTGTAACCTCTGATAGCAGGAGAACCACTCAAGCTATGAGTAAGTTTAGTTGTTGTTTTTTTCTTCTGCAATGTAGCAGACAACTTTCTTCTATCGGAACTTTGTCCTAAAGGTGCGAGTGTTTATGTTTATGTATGACAGTGACATGGAACGTTACCTGCACATACTCGCAGTTTCTTGCACAGAGAACTCCGACTTGCTGTGTTTCCTTGTCGTCTTTCTACAACGACACCATTGTCGGATGCCCGACTTGTGCTTGCGGATGTCAGAACAGAAACAGCTCCGAATCTGGCGGTGGATGCGTCGAGTGAGTCGAGAATTCCTTCTCCATTTTCCTTATCAACTCTTTCAAATTCATTTTCGGGAAAAAAAGTTGAAAACTTTGTGTTTATATGAAGAGCAGACCGGACATGCCTCACTTGGAGTCGGTGGTATTTCCTCCGACCACGAAACAGGGGACTGTACTGCCGCCATTGATGCAGTGCTCGAGCCATATGTGTCCGATTCGAGTTCACTGGCATGTGAAGCAGAACTACAAGGAGTATTGGCGAGTGAAGATCTCTATCACCAACTTCAATTACCGAATGAATTACACTCAGTGGAATCTCGTTGTTCAGCACCCGAATCTCGACAACATCACTCAGATCTTTAGCTTCAACTACAAACCCCTCTCTCCATACGCCGGTTTAAGTAGGTTTTCCCATCTCTCTCTCTCTCTCCCTCCTTCCCTCTCTCTCTCTCTCTCTCTCTGATGAAACGGCCATCTTCGTTGTTGTTCAGATGATACTGCGATGTTGTGGGGAGTTAAGTTCTTCAATGATTTCCTGTCGGAAGCCGGGCCGTTAGGGAACGTGCAGTCGGAGATTTTGTTCCGCAAGGACAAATCGGCATTCACGTTCGAGAAAGGATGGGCTTTTCCGAGAAGAATCTACTTCAACGGCGACAACTGCGTCATGCCTCCGCCGGATTCTTACCCGTTTCTTCCCAACTCCGGTTTCCGCCGAGCTGTCTCCTTCGCCGCCGCCGCCCTCTCTGTTCTCGTGTTCTTCGCGTAATGATACCCTTCACCTTAAACGCTTCCCTCAATCTACGGTTTTGCCACTGACCGGAGATCCCATGTCCGGCGAATAAGGAGGTGGTCGACGGTGGATGGTGCATCGGCCGGCGGAGTGGCATAAGCGTAATTTATGAGTTTTTTTTCATGCCCCAATTTAGAATATCCTGCTCTGTTTTTCTTGGCTTTTATATTTTTTATTTTTGGTTTGATTTTCACTCTATAAGCCTATATATAATATAGCTGCCCTAGAGGAGAACGGCCATACCCATACCAAGCAGAACTTCCATATCAGGATGATTCATTTTTTTTTTTTTTTGTAATTTTATTGCTCAACAATGATAGTTTTTAAAATTTATTAATCTTGTAATTCATCAAATTTGCCATCAAATAAGGATGAGCTTCAACTCCAGTCCATCACCAATCATACCAGAGATCGAAACGTATTTTTGCATAATTCCCCTGTACCCTTATGAGGGGTATAGGGAAAATTTAGGATATTCAGATTCGTATCCGAAAAAACCTGGCCGTACCCGAGAACCTTTATTACCCGAATTACGAATGCCTGATATAAGTTCTGGGTACTTGCGGGTATCCAGATTCGAACATTGTATTAACCAGGTTTACATCAAACAAAGCATGTATTGAATTCTTTTATGGTGGAACCAAACAATACTAAAGAGAAGAACGAGTAATGAGTATATGTACCCCAGCCATTCGCAATTCATTTCTTTCCGATCAGTTCTTCACGGCCAGATTCCGACCTCGTAGTGCCCGTCCTCGGCGGCGCAAGCCCTGAACATGCCGGTCGTGTTAAAGGGCATCGTCACTTCACCCGTGGCTGACACAGCGACCAGCCCACAGGTCCCTCTGGCCACAGATCTATCCACGACATAACCTGCTGCTTCAGCCAGAGACATCCCTTTGTACTCCATGAGTGCAGCCACGTCTCTGGCCACGGTTCCACAGATAATGGCCTCTCCTTTACCCGTGGCCGAGACGGCACAGAGATGGTTGGCATATGTTCCCGAGCCTATGATGGGCGTGTCACCGATTCTGCCCACCATCTTATTGACCAGACCCCCTGTGGATGTTGCCGAGGCTAGATTGCCATGTCTGTCCACGGCTACACATCCGACTGTTCCTAGTTGGCTGTCGCTGTTTGGAATGGGAACATTGCCGGTTAAGTCCTTCTGGACGGGTATTGTGTAATCGATCTGTAGAGAAATCAGAGACTTGCACAAGTCAGGCTCGACCTATTTGTCATAAATTCAAACATATGTAGCCACCCTGTTCTTGAACAGATTATTTTTATGTTATGTATTCATGTGCTGTTCCATAGATGGAAAAGCATGACTTGTTCAAAACAACACACAGAAAAACCTGAGTTTCAGCCGTTCGTAATCCCCTGAGACATATAGCAATGCTTGTTTTTTTTAAGCATATATGTGTACAGATTAGAGAGAAAATTCGGTGCATGAAGCTTCATGTCCTGAACTATAACGTGCAAAGAGTGGCAGAGATTTTGATGTTCTGATGCATATATGATCGGAAGTTAGAAGAAACGATCCCTGGAATGGCCTATGAGAAGAAACATACCTGGACTCTGTTGGCCTCTTTTGCCTGCTTTAGCCTTTCGATGTTTTCAGGGGTAATGAAATGGCTCGATTCCACCGTCTCAACACCCTTGTAGCCGAAAATTAGGGAAAGTAACTCAGAAAATTGGAATGTGAAAGACGACAGCAGAAGGCTTCTTCAAAGTATTTACCCAACTATCCACGATAGCAGGCTTGGTAGACAGCTTCCAGTTATAAATACAAGAAATTCTATACATTGAGAAATATAACCACACTTTTGCAGTTGTCTATAATACCTTATAAAAAAGATAAAAGTATAACTATAAGCAGATTTTATGAAGGGTATAGTTCAGAAATTGATGAAAAAGATAGAACCGGGCTGACCTGTTCTCTTGCAAAAGCTTCTGCACCGTCAAACGCAAGATATATGTGAGGGGTCTTCTCCATGACGAGCCGGGCTAAGGAGATAGGGTTAACAACAGAGGTCAGACCAGAGACGGCTCCACATCTCTTAGTTTTCCCATCCATTATGCAAGCTTCCATTTCGACCGTGCCTTGCGTAGTTAGCACAGATCCCACACCCGCGTTGAAATTTGGGTGGTTTTCCAGTTCACGGACCTTACGACAGAATCAAGTAACGGAACACCAATGGTTAGGACAGATGTAATCAATCTCACATATGTAATTGCCACAACAACGTTGGCCCAAGATCCAACCATCACAGAACACATAAAGGATTGTACGTAATGTATCAAGCTGTGGAGGAGACATTACTTGAGACTGGTCAAATGAACTTGAACTCACACCCTGCTAATTCCGCAGTTAATCATGGCCATAAACTTGAAACTTTGGGATTAACTCCATCAATAAACTAGGGTTTTGGAAATGAGAAGTGTTAATCATTAGCTTCTTCTCATGGCTTTTACAGCCTATTAGTATATGAAACAGTTACAATCTGTTTAGAAATCTGTTAGTTAGTTATATGGCGGTTTATACAATCGGAAGTGTATTTAACATCTGTACAGAAAAAACAGAGTAATACAACTGGAGAAATTTTTCATTCTCTCTGCTCAGTTTTCTCTCTCGTCTTTCTCTCTCTGGGTTTTCCGGTCATCTTTCCGGCGAAACCTGAAATGGTATCAGAGCATTTTCTTTAGAATTTGCTTTTTCTGCGAATTTCTCTTTGTTTCCTGATCATCAATGGCGGAGGCACTAGCAGCAAATCTTCCGGCGGCACCTCCACCTGATGTTCCACCTCCAGATTCACCGTATCATTTGAGTTCGAGTGATCAGATGAATCTTGTTCTCGTATCTGACCGTCTGACCGGCGCTTTGGATTACAATTCATGGTGTTGTTCAGTCACTATGGCATTGGAAGGCAGAAACAAGCTCGGATTCATCGACGGATCTTTGCCGAAACCTGCTGAAAATGATCCAAATCTTAGACATTGGCTTCGCAGTAACGCGATCATCAAATCGTGGCTGCTCAATTCTGTTTCGAAGACTATTGCGATTAGTCTCATGTATGCGAAATCGGCTCGAGATATTTGGCTCAATCTCAGCGTCAGATTTCATCAGAAGAATGCTCCGAAGTATCTGGTTCGCGACAAGCTTCAATCTGGTTTCTTACGGATGATGCATGTGAAGACAGAAAATCAGTTAGCTGATGTTATGACGAAGTCATTACAGCCACAGGTGTTTTCTGTTCTAATGTCGAAGTTTCATATTTCAAGCTTGTATCTCCCTGAAGCTGCAGTCGATTCAAGCTTGAGGGGGGTATATTAGTATATGAAACAGTTACAATCTGTTTAGAAATCTGTTAGTTAGTACGAAGCATATTGACATTGATTGCCATCTGGTTCGCGACAAGCTTCAATCTGGTTTCTTACGGATGATGCATGTGAAGACAGAAAATCAGTTAGCTGATGTTATGACGAAGTCATTACAGCCACAGGTGTTTTCTGTTCTAATGTCGAAGTTTCATATTTCAAGCTTGTATCTCCCTGAAGCTGCAGTCGATTCAAGCTTGAGGGGGGTATATTAGTATATGAAACAGTTACAATCTGTTTAGAAATCTGTTAGTTAGTACGAAGCATATTGACATTGATTGCCATCTGGTTCGCGACAAGCTTCAATCTGGTTTCTTACGGATGATGCATGTGAAGACAGAAAATCAGTTAGCTGATGTTATGACGAAGTCATTACAGCCACAGGTGTTTTCTGTTCTAATGTCGAAGTTTCATATTTCAAGCTTGTATCTCCCTGAAGCTGCAGTCGATTCAAGCTTGAGGGGGGTATATTAGTATATGAAACAGTTACAATCTGTTTAGAAATCTGTTAGTTAGTACGAAGCATATTGACATTGATTGCCATCTGGTTCGCGACAAGCTTCAATCTGGTTTCTTACGGATGATGCATGTGAAGACAGAAAATCAGTTAGCTGATGTTATGACGAAGTCATTACAGCCACAGGTGTTTTCTGTTCTAATGTCGAAGTTTCATATTTCAAGCTTGTATCTCCCTGAAGCTGCAGTCGATTCAAGCTTGAGGGGGGTATATTAGTATATGAAACAGTTACAATCTGTTTAGAAATCTGTTAGTTAGTACGAAGCATATTGACATTGATTGCCATCTGGTTCGCGACAAGCTTCAATCTGGTTTCTTACGGATGATGCATGTGAAGACAGAAAATCAGTTAGCTGATGTTATGACGAAGTCATTACAGCCACAGGTGTTTTCTGTTCTAATGTCGAAGTTTCATATTTCAAGCTTGTATCTCCCTGAAGCTGCAGTCGATTCAAGCTTGAGGGGGGTATATTAGTATATGAAACAGTTACAATCTGTTTAGAAATCTGTTAGTTAGTACGAAGCATATTGACATTGATTGCCATCTGGTTCGCGACAAGCTTCAATCTGGTTTCTTACGGATGATGCATGTGAAGACAGAAAATCAGTTAGCTGATGTTATGACGAAGTCATTACAGCCACAGGTGTTTTCTGTTCTAATGTCGAAGTTTCATATTTCAAGCTTGTATCTCCCTGAAGCTGCAGTCGATTCAAGCTTGAGGGGGGTATATTAGTATATGAAACAGTTACAATCTGTTTAGAAATCTGTTAGTTAGTACGAAGCATATTGACATTGATTGCCATCTGGTTCGCGACAAGCTTCAATCTGGTTTCTTACGGATGATGCATGTGAAGACAGAAAATCAGTTAGCTGATGTTATGACGAAGTCATTACAGCCACAGGTGTTTTCTGTTCTAATGTCGAAGTTTCATATTTCAAGCTTGTATCTCCCTGAAGCTGCAGTCGATTCAAGCTTGAGGGGGGTATATTAGTATATGAAACAGTTACAATCTGTTTAGAAATCTGTTAGTTAGTACGAAGCATATTGACATTGATTGCCATCTGGTTCGCGACAAGCTTCAATCTGGTTTCTTACGGATGATGCATGTGAAGACAGAAAATCAGTTAGCTGATGTTATGACGAAGTCATTACAGCCACAGGTGTTTTCTGTTCTAATGTCGAAGTTTCATATTTCAAGCTTGTATCTCCCTGAAGCTGCAGTCGATTCAAGCTTGAGGGGGGTATATTAGTATATGAAACAGTTACAATCTGTTTAGAAATCTGTTAGTTAGTACGAAGCATATTGACATTGATTGCCATCTGGTTCGCGACAAGCTTCAATCTGGTTTCTTACGGATGATGCATGTGAAGACAGAAAATCAGTTAGCTGATGTTATGACGAAGTCATTACAGCCACAGGTGTTTTCTGTTCTAATGTCGAAGTTTCATATTTCAAGCTTGTATCTCCCTGAAGCTGCAGTCGATTCAAGCTTGAGGGGGGTATATTAGTATATGAAACAGTTACAATCTGTTTAGAAATCTGTTAGTTAGTACGAAGCATATTGACATTGATTGCCATCTGGTTCGCGACAAGCTTCAATCTGGTTTCTTACGGATGATGCATGTGAAGACAGAAAATCAGTTAGCTGATGTTATGACGAAGTCATTACAGCCACAGGTGTTTTCTGTTCTAATGTCGAAGTTTCATATTTCAAGCTTGTATCTCCCTGAAGCTGCAGTCGATTCAAGCTTGAGGGGGGTATATTAGTATATGAAACAGTTACAATCTGTTTAGAAATCTGTTAGTTAGTACGAAGCATATTGACATTGATTGCCATCTGGTTCGCGACAAGCTTCAATCTGGTTTCTTACGGATGATGCATGTGAAGACAGAAAATCAGTTAGCTGATGTTATGACGAAGTCATTACAGCCACAGGTGTTTTCTGTTCTAATGTCGAAGTTTCATATTTCAAGCTTGTATCTCCCTGAAGCTGCAGTCGATTCAAGCTTGAGGGGGGTATATTAGTATATGAAACAGTTACAATCTGTTTAGAAATCTGTTAGTTAGTACGAAGCATATTGACATTGATTGCCATCTGGTTCGCGACAAGCTTCAATCTGGTTTCTTACGGATGATGCATGTGAAGACAGAAAATCAGTTAGCTGATGTTATGACGAAGTCATTACAGCCACAGGTGTTTTCTGTTCTAATGTCGAAGTTTCATATTTCAAGCTTGTATCTCCCTGAAGCTGCAGTCGATTCAAGCTTGAGGGGGGTATATTAGTATATGAAACAGTTACAATCTGTTTAGAAATCTGTTAGTTAGTACGAAGCATATTGACATTGATTGCCATCTGGTTCGCGACAAGCTTCAATCTGGTTTCTTACGGATGATGCATGTGAAGACAGAAAATCAGTTAGCTGATGTTATGACGAAGTCATTACAGCCACAGGTGTTTTCTGTTCTAATGTCGAAGTTTCATATTTCAAGCTTGTATCTCCCTGAAGCTGCAGTCGATTCAAGCTTGAGGGGGGTATATTAGTATATGAAACAGTTACAATCTGTTTAGAAATCTGTTAGTTAGTACGAAGCATATTGACATTGATTGCCATCTGGTTCGCGACAAGCTTCAATCTGGTTTCTTACGGATGATGCATGTGAAGACAGAAAATCAGTTAGCTGATGTTATGACGAAGTCATTACAGCCACAGGTGTTTTCTGTTCTAATGTCGAAGTTTCATATTTCAAGCTTGTATCTCCCTGAAGCTGCAGTCGATTCAAGCTTGAGGGGGGTATATTAGTATATGAAACAGTTACAATCTGTTTAGAAATCTGTTAGTTAGTACGAAGCATATTGACATTGATTGCCATCTGGTTCGCGACAAGCTTCAATCTGGTTTCTTACGGATGATGCATGTGAAGACAGAAAATCAGTTAGCTGATGTTATGACGAAGTCATTACAGCCACAGGTGTTTTCTGTTCTAATGTCGAAGTTTCATATTTCAAGCTTGTATCTCCCTGAAGCTGCAGTCGATTCAAGCTTGAGGGGGGTATATTAGTATATGAAACAGTTACAATCTGTTTAGAAATCTGTTAGTTAGTACGAAGCATATTGACATTGATTGCCATCTGGTTCGCGACAAGCTTCAATCTGGTTTCTTACGGATGATGCATGTGAAGACAGAAAATCAGTTAGCTGATGTTATGACGAAGTCATTACAGCCACAGGTGTTTTCTGTTCTAATGTCGAAGTTTCATATTTCAAGCTTGTATCTCCCTGAAGCTGCAGTCGATTCAAGCTTGAGGGGGGTATATTAGTATATGAAACAGTTACAATCTGTTTAGAAATCTGTTAGTTAGTTATATGGCGGTTTATACAATCGGAAGTGTATTTAACATCTGTACAGAAAAAACAGAGTAATACAACTGGAGAAATTTTTCATTCTCTCTGCTCAGTTTTCTCTCTCGTCTTTCTCTCTCTGGGTTTTCCGGTCATCTTTCCGGCGAAACCTGAAACAGCCCAATTTCAAACTAAGCCGAAGTCCCCATCTCAGGCAAAATCATTTGGTAAACCTCGTTCCATAGACATTAAGAAGATGTCTACCAGAGTTGAAGAGGATTTCTCCAGGTAGAAGATCATCTCAGTTAGATTCATCAACGATGTCGTTTTCAGATTTTTTTTTGTTCCTTCTAATCCTAGAATCTTCCGTTTTCTCTTTGGTTAATTCACCAAATCCGAATCAAAATCCTCTGATCAAACAAAGAAATCTGACACATCCCGAGCTGCTTCCACCGGCATCCAGAGAGGGCTTAGAGAGAGAGAGAGAGAGAGAGAGAGAGAGAGAGAGAGAGAGGCGTACGACGAGTTCGACGACGTCCAACGGATGCTTGCCCGATTTGAGAGAGGATACGCCGAGATCGAGGCAATGACGGAGAGCGGCCTCGCGAGGAACACGGCGTTCAACGGGAAGATTGACCGGAATGTCGCCGGCGCCGCCGTGTAGAGCAATCGCCCAACCCACCATCTCGTCGGAGAATCTGAGCGTTGAAAGAATATTCACTTGGTCCCGTTCCAAGTCCCACCCAAAGAACCTGTGACTTTGACCACAAAATGAGACGGTCAAATCTTTTGTTTTTATTTAGTACCCACGTAACGTGATCCCATTACAAATTAATATTACATGTTTTAAAAAATAGGTATATAATTATAACCAATTTGATAGTACACCCATGTGTATATCTTTTACAAAATTTTAAAAATATCTCTGTTCAACAAAACAAAATATACCCACGTTATATTCTTTACAAAATTAAAAATCTCTTTTAAAAAAAATTCTGTTAAAACTGCAATATACGTATATGTATATATATGGGTGTAATATTTCGTAAAATGAATAAAAAATAAAAAGAAATCCTTTCTGCCTTGTAAGTTGTAACCAAACATAAAATAGCCCATTCATTTTTTTTCTTCACATTTATAACCTTGTAGCATACAATGACACGTGGAATGGTTTGAATCATATTATAATATTCTTATATTGAAATAAATCTGTACAAGGTAGATAAATTATATAGAAGGGGACAAACAGCACAAAATTATGAACTTGTGGATATTTATCCATATCCCTAACCTAAGCTACATCTCTTCTTCACCAGAGAAACTTTTTACTTCACTATTTTTGTCAGTCCATTCATTCATGGCCCAAGAAAATGAGAGAGCGCCTCTCAAGCTTCTGCTCCGAAATACGATTTCTCCGCATCCAAAACGCCCTAAATCACGACGATAAGTCGGCTTTTATATCGGATTCGGACCCGAAAATTATACATTTATCGAGATTGAGAGAGAGTTACCTGTATGATCATAATGGCTGCATCCTTGTGTATGAGTTCATTGTACTCTTGGCAAGCAACGTTCTGTTCCAGAAGTTTACAGATGAAAAGATCAGCCAAACGATCTTTAGCTCCAAACCCGAATCGAACAATGACAGAAAACAAACGCAGAACTCTGCTGAAAGTATCGATTCGATCCGATCCGATCTCTAAATGAATTCCTTAGCTTTGGTTTGTCGATAAGGCGACAATATCGGGTAGTTAGGAACATACCTGGACGCAGTTAGGACAACCGGTTTCAGAAGAGCAACGGCAGGACATTAGGAGATCGAGAGAAGCTTCTAGAATCTCGGTGAAGAAGGGTTGGATCTAAAACACATTCCAGAACGAAAACGAGGATAGTAAGAAACTCGAATCAGAAGTTTCTCGCCATGAACTTTGTAAGTTTTTTCTTTAACGTGAAGGGCGAGAATTACCTTGGAACAGATGCCTGTTCCTCCCGAATGCTTATCGTATAATAAGATTCTCGAAGGAAAATACCGTTTCTCATGCGGGTTTGGACATTCTGGGGCCAAGTCGGAGTAGTTGCATCTCACGTATCTATCAAAACTTCAGCACAGTTGGTAAAATTTTCTTGGGTTCAGAGTTGTAACCTTAAAAAATTGCCGTTCTTGTTCCTTGTAATTGGAAATTAGATTATAGAATAAATCCTTCCCATGGTTTTTACCAATTGAAGAACATTCTCATATTTCAAATAGAGGAAAACTAGGAAAATGACAACTTACAGAGGTACAACATGCAGAAGGGCGTGACAAGCAGCATGTAAACCCGAACGGAACGAGAAGATCTTCTCAACTTCTGATTTTACAGGTTGTGGGACTTGAATCCAAACAGCCTAAATTACAGAATAGCGCGTTCATGAACAAACTCAAACCCTAAGTTACTCGGGGATTGGGGGAAAGAGAGAGAGAGAGAGTATCGGCCAGTGTGGGAGAGAACCTGTGATTCGTATGAGTAACTCGGGAGAGAAAGATCAACGACGTCAAATACATCACTCGTTCTTCTCCGAACACGATAGAATCCGAACCAAGTGGTTGTCACCCTGCAAATATGAGCTTGTGCTGTTGTTTCAGGAATTTGGTCCCTTGGAACCTTGTATGCATAAGCCTGCAAGCAAGTACGAGTTAAAAAAGGCGAAATAGGGAAATGAACGCAATGAAATCTCGGACATAGTGTCAAACTTTATGCAAAAGAACTCAAATCTTCTCGACACGAAGATGAGCCACTAAGATTCAAACTAAGACCGGAGCCTAGACTCGTCATACCATATGTGGTATAGCCGAGACTTACAATGTTGCCGCCCATGACGTGAATATCGGTGTAATCCCGTGTCTTTGTGTAATAATCCACACTCGCTTTTTCACAAAAGGCGATTGTTTCTTTCGTATCGAGTTTCTTCACCAGATAAGTCCTCCCTTGGTTCATGTACACAGCACCTTCATATACCTGAATTAAAACAAATAGTTCTTTGTCTATGAGGGCGAATTATCGCATCCAAGTAGATAATAAACAATTACACATTCTCCCAAACAGATAAAATGCCTTTAAGAAATCTTGCAATCGTTATGAATGTTCCTAGAAGACTCAAACTGTTCATAGAATAAACCGAACTCCAAACCCATCAGACAATATCAACTTTAAACCAAAATTAATCAAATAATTTTATCAAAAGACTAAAATGTAAAATTGGAGATAATAACTACAGCAGTCTTGAATATTTAGATCTCATACTGTAAAGAGTGAATATGGTCATATATAATATATCCCACCTATGTAACGTTCTTACCTGGAAAAAAGCCTTGCTTTCTTCGATTTCATCAAGAACTTCCTCACTGTTCTTATCGATAACTATATATCTCACTGCCTCTATGGCTCGGATACAGATCTTCTGTGACGGAATTTTCTGAGGAATGAAAACCAGCAAAATTTATAGTACAAGGTAACTCAGTCTTGCTTTGGGTTTTCAAGAAAGCTCTTTAAATGTTTGTGTTAAAAGTAACAGTCCGCATATACCTCATGACCAATGTAGGTCCATATTCTAGCAGAAGAATCCCGGGATGGATCAGAGCTCAAAAACCCTTTGTTATTGAGTACTGCAATGCCATTGCTTAGGCCGGAACCAAAGTGTTTTTCGTCATACTGCAAACTCAGCGGGTGCTCAAGAGCAGCACACACCAAATGTTGCTCGAGGACCTGCAAGAATCCATGTAGCTGAGTACAGATAATCCATGTGAAAAATCAAACAGAGTTCCATCATGGATTTTGACCTGTTGATTGAGAGAATCGATATGGCAACATTCAATTGGGCTGCGGAAGAGTTTCTCAGGAAATTTCATGAAGTATTGATCGAGTGGTCCATCAAATGCAACATATACAGCAAGTGAAGGTCTTTCTCGTCTTCCCGACCTGCCCGCTTGCTGCCAAAGGCTAAATAAAAAAGGGATTGGTAACTTTCAGTTCCAACTTATCAATTTTACTGTTAGGAGTAAATGAACACCGAGCTAACCAGATTGGTTTACCTAGCGATACTGCCGGGAAAACCTAAATGCAGAGTTACGTCAATATGACCGACATCAATGCCTAATTCAAGAGCATTTGTTGCAGCAATACCACAAAGCTTCCCACCAAATAAACCGCCTTCTATTTTCCTTCGGTCCTGCAAATGAGAAAAACATTGATCTCATGAGCATAATCCATCTATCATAACAACCAAGCCACAGGCAAAACACAGAAATGTCACTTATAAAATTTTTCCATATAATAGCGTGATTTAACAGTGAAACTAGATTAACTAGAAGAGATGGGCAATTCTGGTCAAATGGAGTCCTGGACTTTTTCAGACCCTGTGACATTCACTAAGAGCGTTCATCGGTTACTAAAATATGGCCATCTAAGCAATCGGAAAGAAGAATGAACCTCAGCAGTGTAGCCTCCGCGATATGAAGATATGGCCTCAACCAGGTGAGGGGCAGTCTTTGCTAGGATTTCACGCCTACAAATTGTTTCTAGATATCAGACTCAGTCCTATTTTTCACGCAAAAGGGCCAAATTCTCAGTGGAAAAGTAACATCAGGAATTTATAATAAGACATACGTAAGACAAAGAACAAGTTCACAAAGTTTGCGAGACCGACAGAAAGCAATGCAACGAAGCCCATGCCTAACCATCTCTGCGAAAAGGAGTGCAACTTCAGAGATTGGGCTGAGAAGAAGATGAAGCAAAATCTAAGTTAGGCACAGATAGACGAAAATAAATCTCCTTTTGCTTGTAATCACAGCAAATTACTAGAAATACCTTGATGTTCTATGTGAATCAGCTCCAGTACCAGTCATGAGTTTCGAATTTTCTTCAGATATCTGTCATATTACAGGAAACAAGTGAGTAAAGACTCAAAAACAGTCCATAGATAAATCTTGGATAATGAACCTACATTTCTTGCAGAAGATGTGGGATTCCAGAGAACAAAAAGCTTTTGGGAGGAATGGCTTCCATCATTATCAATAAGCTCTAAATCAGATAGATTTGCAAGCTCCTGCAGCATTAGCAAGCCAGATTTAAATCCAGGAATGGCAGATTTTGATCAAAAGGTACTAGTGATGTGAAAGCTTACCATGCAATGTTCTCGAGGGTTAGCGGAAGTTGCGGTGCAAAATATGAAAGAGGGATCAGTGCCATACACTGAATCATTACATTTCTCTTGTCAGATGAAAATCAGAAGATATGAAAATGGTGATGAAAGAGTATGCTATTGTGACCGGGGAATAAGTATTGTCACCGTGAGAGCAGAGTCGTCGAAGTCTTCTCAATATAAAGGCAGTGTGGCAGCCAAATGCTCCCTTGTAAGTATGGGCTTCATCTATTACAACATACCTGAAATTTTCCAATATGAGCATGTCAGTTTGGCCACAAAATTGGACCAAGTTAACAAATACAATTTTTTAACTCTCCACACCAGTCATTTCTCATTACGGTTCTAATGAAAATGAATCAAGTTTAAGATGAATACGAGGTTTTGATTTCCTGGGTCCTCTTATATTTTCTCCAGAGGAAAATGTTTTACCTAATATTTGATAAAATCCGGTTGAATTGTCCATGGAAGGGCAATATTGACATGTGTAACATGTCAGGATTTGTGATCAGCTACATGGAAAAAAAAATGAAAACAACCTCAGTTGATAAATAAGTATCTGAATATTTGGATGACATTAAGATTAGACGAAAACAATTTGATCGAGGACAAAATAACATCAGAGCATTAGAGAGTCACCAGCCTAGCATTATTCTTAAGTCTTGTTCTATCCTTCATAGGAGTGTCACCATCATATACTCCAACATTTATGCTTGCTCCATGTCCTTCTGACATATCGAGCACCACTCTCAATTGATCTTGAGCTAAGGCCTATATTCACAAATGAAACCAGTCTCTTGTCATTCTACCAATTCCCGAAAATCATAAACATAAACAAAAAATGAATTCAAAAGGGAAAAAAAAAAAGCAAGCCAACTAGCCTTTGTTGGAAACAAGTACAAGGCACAAGAAGCTGGGTTATTGACCAATTCCTCAAAGACTGGCACATTATAGCAAAGAGATTTCCCACTAGAAGTCATTGTTGCAACCACTACATTCTTCCCAGACAAAGAGGCTGAAATCGACTCAGCCTGATCAAAGAGGGGAAATAGGTACTGGAATAAGTCTGACGCTGCCTAGTTGAACTGTTGAAGACGAAGATAACAAGATTAATATACCTGGTGACTGTATAATTTATTGATGCCAATACTTTTCAGGGCAGATTTAGTGGTTTCCGAGAGCTCATCTGGAATTTCAACATAGACAGCTTTTCTGGGTTGGATATCTTCAACATGAACAATCTGCACCAGGAAAAAGGTAAAGGTTACTTGTAAGTACAGCTCCAACGTAAAGAGATAAAATAAACAACAAAACAGCGAGAAATACAAACAGAAAATCTACCTGTCCTTTGGATCCGATGCCATTTCTGAGATGTTCAACCATTTCCGGAGGTAGCAAAGGATCTGTTTCCTGTAAATTGACCATCTAAGAGGAAATATAAATCTAGTCTGCAAATAAACAATCTGTCTTTATACATTATAAGGGGCAAAACCTTTTTCTTTTAATGTTTTATATACACAAAGTCCTTGAAAAAATTTCACAACGTTGATGTCTTAGATGCCCAAGAATTGAACGAAACACCTAACATTTAGAATTTAAGTCCACACTAGAGAAGACCATTTTCAATGTAAATCCTATAATATCAGTGTATGTATTGTATTTTGGGTAAGAGTTCATCAGTCGAGTCTTAGACAGAGATACCCCAACATAAAAGAAGAATTACTCTTGAGTAAATATGAAAGCAAATACTAACTTGACATCGGCTCTGAGATGAATGAGACCCCGACGGAAAATAACTGGACTTGCTGGCCAGTTTAGCTTCATTTCTACTTGAAACTCTACCTTCCTTTGTTAACGTAATCATGTCCTCCAAGGAAACAACCGTGTCCCTCTTACTTCGATTTTTTAACTGTGAGCAAAAGCATTTTAGTGAATTAAATTAATGAATGATGCTTTTATATGGACATGTCTATGAAGCAACAAAAGAAAACTAGCCCAGTTAGAAGTTTGATAGAATTCCATGAACCACAGGGTTAGAGTAGGTAAAATACCAGTAACAATTTGATCGACTCCGAAAGGTAAGCCTTAAAGGAAATTCCACGTTTCTTCATTGAATCAAGAACCTTCGACAGTGGCATCCATTTACATTCTGTTAACAGCAATGATTAGAGTCACAAGGAGGCGAACACAATAGCTCAGAAGCTAAACAAAGTACATTCACCTAAACAGTACCAGATTTATAATATTTTTTCACTCCATCCATTTCAGAGTCCGGAGAATCAACTATGACAATAGCATTCTCGTAGTTTGCAGACTCTAGGTCATCCGTAACAAGGCGTACTACCTGCCACAGTAATAATGGTTACATATGAAAGCTTTGTCATTGAATTGGTTGGAACATCTAAACATATCAAAAATCACCTTGGGGCAGATGTTGGAGAGATTCTTTACATCCTCAATACCAATACGAATTCCCGATTTCCCTAATCGGGCAAGTGATTCCTCCAAACGGTTTAATGTGATTTTTTCTCCTCGTAACTGAAGAAGAGATGTAAATAGATTCAAAAATGTAAATGCTTCCATTGATAGTTTCAACCACTCTGGACACGAACATGGATAGCTACCTCCATGGTTTCTATTCGTTTCCGTGGATATCAAGCATTTTGCAGAACGCGGAGTGGTCAGGCAATTGACAGACTCTAAAACCTCGACTAACTTCACTTGATTTTGTCCCTCAAAAGCATTTTTCTCTTCAGACTGTGAAACACTCTTCAAGAACTCGTACGGACCGATTTCTTGGTCCCTTTTCCGTTTAACGCCAAAAGAGTGAGGCAAGACCCCATTCTCTTCGATTCCCTGGCTCTCTGCTCTTACAACATTTTCATCTCGTAAACTGGAAAACTCGCTGACCATTTCAGAATATGCAGAGTCTGAGAAGCTTGAACCTGCCCTACTGTTCAAGCTTGTGCTCAAGGAAGATTCCGAGAAATCGGGTTTCTGGGTCTGTGCACATTCCTTCTTAGCAAACGGAACCAAAACAAAGAAATCATCTGCCTGAATGGCGAGAGTATCCACCCTACTGTTCAAGCGCAATTTCACACCCTAGAACAAGATGTTCACATTAGATAAAATACAAGAGAATACAAATCGCCCACAAGAATGGCTGATGAACAGAACTCTTACCCAATGTAACAGACAGCATTTGAAAAAAAAAACAGCACATATATTAAAGGAAAGAAAATCAGACATTCGAGACATACACTTGAATCCTCGATAATCGCAGATGTAATCGGTAACATAAATTTACCAGAGACAAGGAAACTAAAAACAAAAACCACTACCCTCAATTCTGTTCATCCCGTAAAAAATCGGAAGAAAAAAAGAAATAAAATCTCACGAGAAGTGCTAGAAAACGTAAGAATAAATTGTAAGCATTACCTTGAAAAACAAATGGAAATTGGGAGAGGAAGAAGCGGGAGAGAAAGACCGGTTTAAGGCGATCTTAAGGTCATGAATCGTCTTGTCGGAAGAGACCTGAAGAGTCGTCGACTCGCCGGTAAGTGAACGGACATTGATTACTACAGTGTCTCCGCCTTTGCTGCTTTCGTCCGCCATTGGACGTGCTTCCTCTTTCGCGTCTCTCCTCTCACGGATTCTGCGAATATAAACTTTCACCAAAATACGACCTCGTTTTATATGATCATATATATAATCATTGAAAATAGTCAACAGAATATTGCCATGAATCTATTATGACAACATAAGCAACAATACACACAAAAATAAAAATATTTTCATTTTCATTTTCATTTTCGTTGAACCGAAAAAATATGGTTTGTATTGAATAATATTGTCTAGGTTTTGTTTATATGCATTGCTCGAGCTATGAACCGACGCCAAAAGGGAATCGTATACATCCATATATATATATATATATATATATATATATATATATATATGTCATATAGTTGATAATGTAATTAACGAAAACTAAATGGGCGAATATTAGAGATATAGATGAGGTATAATTAATTATTTACATATAAGATTTGATTTTTTTTTGTTAGTGTCCGTTTTCTTGTTAGATTCAAACGCCCATGTATATTTATTTTGGTTTTGTTCAATAGAAAATATAAGGCTTTATTACATAATTTTTTGTCATGGTATCAAACCCTAGTTGAAAAAAAAGTCGACAGAAGATAAATAATAACTAATAATATGTAATACAATATCAGTCTATATGTCTAATAACTAATTTTAGCTAAAATTTAATTGGCATTATGATACATAGTTGATAATGTAATTAACAAACAAAAGCATCTCATTAGAGACACCCTCTGGGAGAATTAGAGGTTTCTTCCTCTACCATACATACGTTCACACGAGTTCGAAAATAGAAATACAGTATTAATATAACGCGTGCGCATATTAAATTTTCAATTTTGAAAGAATAGTAATAAAAGAAGAAAACATATTCATATAAATCCACCTAAAAATGGGGCAATCAAAGAATATACATATACACACTTGAATCTAGAAAAGAAATATTCACGTATATTCTCGATGATTGAGACATAAACCTAACAAAACTCCATTTCATTAAAAACTCCTAATCCAACAACCGCTTGGTTTGAAGAAGAAATTTAATTCGAATTTTGTATTTTATTCAGAAGAGATAAATGTAAGGCTTAATTTTGTATTATATATATATATATATATATATTAATAGTGTGTTATATTAATTTTTTTGTTAAAGTGTATGGTACTATTATTATTTACAGTTTAACGATGCATCGTTCTATACCAACGTATATACAGATATAATCGTTGAAATAGAAATATAGATCATAATACAATACATATTAATTATTTAATCTGATTCATATAAAATTACAAAAGTTGATAGTAATTATCTAATTTAACTCATATAAAATTACAAAAATTGATAGCACAGGTTGGAGTCTGTATATAGAATAAAAGAGATTGAAGATTAAAACTAAATCGGTGAATCTTTAACTGTAATTTTCAATAGTCGAATGATCTATCTAGAGGGTTTGTACTATTGTCTAGATCAAATTTGTGGAGTATTGCTCATTTGCCACACTTCTTGTGACGAAAGTATTTAGAATTGACTTAACATTCGAGTAAACGTTCCAAATCTAGGATAAAAGCGGAAAAGAGGAACATATCTATATATAAGATATGGATGAGCAAATAAAAAACTTGAATTTTTTATACACGTTTTACAACTAGATAGATCGAATAACAATGCATACAAAATTTAAAATTCAAATTTGGTTTTGGGAAAGATTTTTATGAAATGAATAAATTACTCGCGGATAACAGTCTATTATAAAATTGACAATTACATCTCTAGAGTTTTAGAAAATTGTTGAGAACTATATTATTCTCAAACAATGAATGAGATCCACAACATTTCAAAATGAAATTTTTATGCACAATGTATTTGTATAATCTAATTATGACATTCTAATTCAAATAACAACTTTTAATGACACATATAATAAAAGAAAATTTGAATTTGAATAATGTAACCTTATATCATTTCAAATTTTCATGAAAATTAACTAATTTGATTCTCTTTTCATTACATAAACTTAATTTCCACTAACAATGTAAATAGATGAATCGTAAAGATACTAGTTTTGTGATTGCCGCTTATTAGAATTATAAGACAATAGTAAGTTTTTTTTGTTAAATATATATATATATATATATATATATATATATATATATGTGTGTGTTTTTCTCTCATATTAACATATAAATGTCATATAAAAGTGTTTTTCTCCTTAGATAGTATGACTATTTATATACAAAATACTAACAAATTTTGTTTATGACTAGATATATATCATATCTAAATGTCAAAAAACAATGAAACAAACGACATAATTTTTGAAGAGCTCAAAATCATTGCGGCGTTCAATATGATGCACACATAGATTTCAAAGAAGGCTCACACTTTGTTCGTCCGTCGCATTCTCGCTCACACTATTACAAATCTTGACAATAGTTCGACTGAAATTCTAAATAATCATTTGATTCTTACAGTATAAGATGATCTCTATGAAGAAAACAAGAATAGAACTACGCTATCAACAAAAAGATAAATGACAAACAAAATTTTGACCACCAAATATCGATAGAGTGCAAGATTCTGTATATTTCTTAGCATTATTAATATTGAATTTTAAATTAACTAACTATGTGTGTATAACAAAAAATTATCGGATAACTCTTTAGTATATCAACAAAGAATGATAAAACGAATGTCTTCGTCATCATTGATAGGTACAGTGTATCACATGCAATCGGTGTCAGCAAACATGAACCATAGATATCGATATATATATCCTCCTACAAACTTCAACATATTAGCGATTTTCAAAAACTCATGATAGATATATTCTTCTATCGTTATTCACTGGGAACTTTACCGAAATCTTCTTGAATTGTTCTCTAATATTGACAAAGAATATCAAAACCAGTATCCTTGTTATAAGCTTTCATGTATCTCATGCAATTTGATTCTCCGATTTGTGAAGAAGCTCGAGACTCGTTGCAACTGCTATGAATCCTTGAATCCTTTGACAATCTTCATCAAATTACTGATTATCAAAATTTGATCAATGATGTATTCTTCTATCAATTTTTCAATGAAAACTTCATTAGAATCTTTATCGTTAAATGTTGAAAAATAGTTTTGATAAAGATGATTATGAATATAAGTGACAAAATGCATTTGAAAAAATAAATTAAAAGGAATAAATAATACTCAATAAAATAAAAGTTATAACAAATAAAGAATAAATATAAAACCAAATCAAAACGAAATCAACAAATAAATAATTGATATTCTGACATAAAAAATTTCTAAAGCAAAAAATATATACAAAGGTTTTTGAATTTCTATTTATTATCTAAAAATATAAATTATGTATACACACATAATTATTATTCTAGATTCATAAAAAATGTTTGGATTTTTTATTTAATCAGTGAAAACAACAAAATATTTTATTTCAATCAATGAACTTTCATTTTAAAAATACTATTTTCTTGTCAACTTAATTACAAATTAATTTAAAGAAAATATAAAAATAAAATGAATTTTGAAAATTAAAGAAGAATCTCGATACTCCGTTGTCACAAATCTTGTTAACGAATATCGTACGAGGATATGAGTGTATCGATTTGATGATTCAGGTCTAAGTAATGGGTTGAACATCTTGAATATCTCATTCAAGAATAAAGTAAATAAATATAAAATGAACAAAAAAAATAAAACCCTACAATTTCAACGTCCTAAAAACTCAAGATGCTACCATTTATTGTATTGTTATCTAGTATCGACAAAGAATATCAAAACTAATGTTCTCGTTATAAGCTTTTATGTGTCTCATGCAATCTGATTTTCTGATTTGTGAAGAAGCACAATACTCGTTGCTACTGCTATAAATCCTTTGGCAATCTTTATCAAATTATTGATCATCAAAATTTGATAAATGATGTATTCTTCTATCCATTTTTTAAATCAAACTTCATTAAGATTTTCATCGTCAAATGTTAAAAAATAGATTTAGATAAAGATGATAAACATATGATGAATACAAATCACAAAATGCAATTTAAAAAATAAACTAAAAACAATAATATATACTCGATAAAAAAAATTATAACGAACAAAAGAAAAAATATAAAACAAAATTAAAATGAAATCAACAAATAAATAATTGATATTCTAACAAAAAAAATTCCAAAGCAAAAAAAAATACAAAAATTTTAAATTTCTATTTATTATCTAAAAATCTAAAAAATATACATAGAATTATTATTCTTGATTCATGAAAAAAAAATGTTTGAATTTTCTATTTGACTAATGAAAACAAAAAAATATTTTATTTCGCTCTGTGAACATTCATTTTAAAAATATTTTTATCTTGTCAACTTAATTACAAATTAATTTGAAGAAAATATAAAAATAAATTAATTTTGAAAATTTATTATTAGGCTCATCAAAACATTTTCAATATGCCCTTTGAATATGAGATATGTAATTATTAACTTGAAACATTATCTATTTGAAAATTACTATTTTAGATTAATGAAAAGTTGTTTGGTTATTTTTATTTGATCCATGAAAAAAATAACATGTTTCGATCAATCAATTATCATTTTAAAACTATTATTGTTTTATCAACTTTCAATATGTTCTTTGAATACTTTAAAATCTAATAATTATCTTGGATGAATATACTCAAATAAAACACTGTCATCCATCCCTAAAGGAATATAAAAAGAAAAATGATTTGATAATTTATCAACGTCTACAAAATTGAGGTTTAGAAAAATATTCGGTATGTATTAAAAATGACATTTTTTGTATATTATTCTTCATCAAATTACTAATTTTCAAGACTTGATTAACAATATTTTTCAATGCAAACTTTATTTCTATCTTTGTCATCGGATATCAAAAAATGAATCTTTGTAGATAATAAATCGCAAATTCATACAAGAGTTTTGAACTTTTATTTATTGTCTAGAAATAGAAATTGTGTACATATGAAACTATTTGTATTCATGTAAAAAATGTTTGGATTTTTCTATTTGATCTATAAAATGAAAATAATACTTTATTCATGGAATGAATTTTCAGAGATGACGTAAACACATGTTCTATATGTCTTTAAATATTTTGAAATCTAATTACTATTTTGAACTCAATAGTATGATGGAGATTCAAGTAAAAATATTCTGACCATTAAAGGAATCTAATAAGTAAGAATGATTTGATAAATGATAATTCATTCATTACCTCTACCAAATTGATGTTTACAAAGATAAACATGTATCTCTTAAAATTTTTGTACATAATGATTCTTTGTTGAAAAGATTTGACAATTGTTCCAGATTACAAAAAAGAAAATCCATGAAAATCAGAACAAAAATATGCATTATATTTTATCTCCGAGAAAACTGTGTTATATATTGATAAGTGTATATCTATTATTATGTTTGTTATTTTTGTGTTTTTGAAAATTTTCTTATATTCTTATCAAAAGAAATTCTAAAAAAATCTCAAACGATACACTCATTTAATACGTGCGAATATGTATTTTTTTTTTCTTTTGTTACAATATACGACACTCTCTTTTGAATTTCGAAGAACCATCTCTTTTTTCTTTTTTTATAACAATACTTTGCACATTGTAACCCTTTTTACGTATATTTTTAAGAATGACACTTCTTGTCTTTTTGTTAGTAAATTAAGTTTTAACAACAACAAAAATTTTGTTCTCCTATTAATACCTATTAAGTTGAGCTGATGAGAAAACACTTCAAACACCTAAACCAGATGACTTGTGTTTGAAGAAACAAAAGCCAATTGGGTTAGCATCAGAGTTCCAATGCTTCATATTCCAATTAACCTAAAGCCAAAACATTCTTCTATTTTTTTTTTTATAATGGATGAGTCCTAATCTTCGGACGCACTGACTAAATGAATCTCCGGTTCGGGAACAACCTTTGTATATGAGCCAAATTAGTCCAGAAATTACCTCCCAACCCGCCATGAAAGATCGAACACTTGACCTTGAGATGTTATCCACCTCAACTCAATCACTCGACCACTTGATGCACACAAATGAGCTAAAAGCTTGAGATCCCACAAACGAAACGAAACACTAGATTTCAGTAACATATCTTATATGATATCTCATTCTAAGATTTAATATACATCTAAACAGACGAACAGACCGGGGCAAGTTATCGGGGATTAGTACATAAATGCTATAGACTGCAGATACGCTCTCGCCTTTGCAGCGGCTGCCATGGATTCTTCATCTTGTTTTTCCTTTGCAGTAGCAACAGCTGCAACGTATGTTTCTCTTGCTTCTTCCATTTTCCTGAGGTGGGTTTCATCTATATCATCCTGTTTTCGCAAGACAAGCATATTTTCAAGACTTCAGATCTGACCCGGATAGACAAACAACAAGAATTTGATATCCTCAGAATTTGATCAATCCTTATCCAGTTCGCAACTCTAAATGCAGTTTACAACAAAAAAATTTACATGATTAAGGGTTACTAGTTACATGTCTATACTTTATAATGACTCTTGTGTCTGTGAAAATACATGTGAAGGACCAGAAGAACGGAGTGTCATGAGAGAAGCTGAGCATCAAAAAAAGATTGAAAAAGTCATGAGTTTTGGACTTACAATATAAGGAAGATGATCGAATTCATATGGGGTCACATCAAAAACTCCATCATATTTCTTGTTGGAATCACTTTTTGTCAATGCTTCGAATAGTCTCATGAATGAAGAGACCTCTCCCTGCACAGCATCTAGCATTTCTTGAAGCTTGGTTGCTTTCGTGCCTGTGGTCTTTGCTTCCCACTGAGTCTTCTCGAGTGCCGCTTGCTTGTCTGCAAGTTTGAACTATTCGAGACAAGAAAGAATCGTTGAACATCTAGATCGCGTACGAAAAGAAAAACAGAGATTCCAAATTTTCAAGCATCCAACAAATATCAAGATCTAAAGCAACAAGATTTCTCCATCTTTCTCAAATCTAACACAAGAACACATACAAAATGTGCAACAACACAAATGAGAAACTATGAAGAAGCACAAGAGAATAGAATTACCTTTGTGTCAGATAATTGTGACTGCATAGACTTAATGAAAGACTCCTTCTCGGTGACCAACCGCTTCATCTCTTCAAGCTTTGCATGAGTCTCATTCACCTGATTCTTTGAAAGTTCCATTGATTTCAAAAGCTCATCTTTCTCCAGCAATTTTCTTTGCAACTCATCAACTTTCTCTCTCAGACTTTTCATTTCTTCCCTCTCAGCAGTAGCCAAAGCCCTCACATTTTCGCCATCTTGCTCTTTGTTTTCACTCTTACCATCATTGTTGCCTTCAGGGTCTCTCTTTTTTCTACCAGGGATCGGTTGAGAAGCATTCCGCCCCCTCAGATCAGGGACCTGCAAATACAGACGAGACAACTGACAATTTACAGAAAGGGTCGCATAGAAATTTGTTCAAAATGACAGAACCAACATTTGGTGGGAAATGAATGACGGAAACCAGCCTCAGAAATTACTAAACCAAGTTTCCCAACATCAGTTCTGAACAGAAAAACTCTTCTTCAAGACAGCATTTACCACGCATACCAAGTGAGAAGCATATACCTTTACAGTCATATCTATTTACAGTTATAAATTCATTCAACTACTAACCAAATTTATGGAACCATTAACCGAAATGGAATAGAAATCGGACAACAGTTCTCAATCTGAAAACTCTTAACTAGAGTAGAGTCTTGTACATAATGGCATCAGACATAGTAGATCGAAGTGCAAGAGAAGTTAGAAATCTCACCCTTCTGGCTAAGGCTTCTCTGGAAGGCGTTTTTGTGTATATCATGGAACCACGCCGCTTAAACGAACTTCTTTCTTTCTGATCCTAATCGCATCCATTGAAAAATCAGTAAAAATCTATCAGATAAACGGAATCTAACTTCATGATTTCCCAGGAACTTCAAATCCAAAAATGCCCAAAATATGACCACTTTCTCCCACATCAGTATTCTCCAAAATTTTCCCAAAATTGCAAGATGCCCACCAACAAAAAAGTCCAAAGCTTTTCCGATTTGCTCCCCAAACTGAATTTCCTATAAACAACTGATACAATTTCAAAACTCCAACCCCCTTTCTCACTGCATCTCCTTGCGCTCAGAACCCAGGAAAAACGACCGAGGGGGAGAGAGAGAGAGAGACGTTACGATGTAATGCTCAATGAGAGGCACCATCTCGACAAGGTCATTGAAGAGGCGGCGATCGAGGTTCCCATTGCCGGAGCTCGCGGCGGCTGAGGACTGGTGAGGCCGCCGGAGATCGTCGTCGCCGGAGAGCCAGGAGCTCGCGTCTCCAAACCCGGAATCGCCTTGTAAATCCACGAAGTGTTGAGGCTCAAACATCTTCTTCCTCCGATAGATCTGATGCAGTTTCTCCGCGACTGAGCAGAGGAGACACGGAGAGACTTTGTTTTCAAAATCCTTTCTCCCAAGTCCCAATCCAAGTCTCCCAACTTTCAGATCTTATTCTCTAACGTTCATCTGGATCGGTCCAATGTTGAATTACCAAATTACCCTCTTGTTCTCAATCTATTCTCCAGACCTGCCACTCGCCAGTTGCGTCCTTCGTTCCTTCCCTTTAAAACTTTCTTTCCTTCCAATTGGTTCCCTTAAGTTTACAAATTTACATTTTACTCCTAATTTTTGCGATTAAGAAACGTTTTCATGGAAATTTCTGTCTGACATCTTCTTCACACTATCATCAAGCTCTTTGTATTGGCTACCAAATATTTTAAAATTTAAATCATCAACTCTCTAATATTCAACTTTAAAACTTTACGCTGTAAATTTTCAAATTGAACCGCCACTCACTTGACGTCGCTGACAATCAAACGATATGCTGTGTCGCTTCTGATTTGTCCCTTTTGATATCAACCTTAATGTTTACACTATTTTTGGTTGTCTTTTCATCTTATTACGGAAATAATGTATATAAAGTTTTATTATAGCCATAATGATATCTTATGCGATAAATAAGTCATCCGAATCCCATAAAAATATAGAAATTATAAAAATATAATAAATTTTGTATTAGAAAAAAAAATTGAACAAAAAAAATGGAGAAGGGATTTGAAAGGGAAAACCCAACGATGCTTCATCTTAAAAAAGATGATCTTATTGTCAGCGAAACTAACAAAAACTATCTCAAATAAATTATTAATTACAAATAAAAGTTTTTCATAAACCCGATTACTTCACTTTCTCACGTTAATTTTATTATTTAGAAAATACAAATCCATTATTGAGGTATATATATGCAATTAATTGTATGACTAAAAAGTGATCCGGATTTAGATAATTAAATGAATCGAAAGAACCTTCTAATTATAAAAAAAATATGGACAATTTCCAAATCTCTGCATAAACTCTCTTGACCTAATTGGGTATTTACATATTCATTTCATCTACAATTATTATAATGTGTACCATTGAAAAAAATAATTGACGTATTAGACCGGTCTTAATTTTTTAAATTCGCTTTGAATTCCATCCATCGTTTTTGTTTTGATACTATTATATATATATATATATATATATATATATATATATGTATGTATGTTATTTTGAAACTGGGAATAAGAAAAATAATTGTGGGAACATTGTGGAATCGTACACATATCCGCAGACAATCCCTGACTCCACAACCGCTCATTAAAATTTGTATGAGATAGTAACAAACGCACGTGTCTTAACGGGCCTGCTCTCCACCTCTGCTTCCCTACAGTACTACCACTTTACCTAATATGGACCCCCACATTTCAATCGTTAGATCTAACAGCCTGTATGAATTGTACAGATCCAACGGCTATAAATCCGTGCTTTGAACGCACCGGTGTTCGGAGGATCTATCTCTTGCGAAAATCCCATGCAATTTCTTTTTGTAAAACAATATAGTTCCAGACTGTCATTCTCATTAATTCAGACTATGAAATTTGATTTTATAAGTAATGGATGCAGATATATAAATGTTAAGTTTTAAATATGCAATATATCTTATAATAAAGCTATTTATTATAAGATATATTCCGGCACCTCCATCAGATCTTCCATCTCCAGATTCTCCGTATTACCCGAGCAATGGTGATCATATAAATCCCGTTCTTGTATCCGATCTGATAGACTACAATTCTTGGTGTTGCTCAGTTATAATGGTTCGAACTCTGGACGTGTGTTACCACAACCACCAAACCACCAAACTCCTGGTTTTGTATCTTCACAATCACCAAACCACCAATTCGTGACAATTCAAAGGTAAAACTTTATAAGAATCCTTCCTCTTTAGTATGGAACAATTCTTTGATGGTGCAGGTGTTACGGGAGAGCTAGCCAAGGTCAAAGGTGCCGGAAACTACCTCCAAGACCTCGCCCAACTATGCCACAGCTCTTGCAGAAGTGACTTGGTTGAGAGAGATTGTAGTTGTTGTAGTAGCAGAACTTGGTTTGGAGGGGATTGCAACGAGGACACTTAAGTGCCTGGTGGCGACTGTGCTGACTCTGGTGGGCCTACATCCGCCGGTCTCCACCGCCGAATAACCTCCCCGCTCCTCCGCCGCCGCCGGCCGTCATCAAGCGATGATAAAAGACTTTTTGAACTAATTTGGGTGATATTTTTTTTGGGAAGAAGAGAAGAAGAGATGCGAAGTTACAGCGGCAGAGGAAGAGTAGTGGCACAGTAAAAGGCTTTTTGAGAATGCGATTTCTTGCTGGAAATTACAAATCTGCCAATCGTGTGACAGTTTCTCCTGTTCCCAAGTTCTAATCAGCCTTTAAACTTTATTTTAGAACATTATCACAACACTCAAGAACATCGCTGTACTTAAATTGGTATTACACAAAAATAAAATAAAAAAAATCCCCTTTTACCAAAAATAGAAAAATAAAAAAATCGCTCAAAAGAAAATAATATAAAAGAGGATATTTGTGGGACGACAAAATTCGTGGCGGTTTGATAAGAGAGGGACTGTGCTGTTCCCATGGCCGTGGACTTTGTCGAGGATGACGTCCAGATCGAATCAGATTGTGTACCTGTCGGCCACCCGCTGCATCCGCTACGCTTCTTCTAAATCTGCGCGCTGTTCCAATGGTTCTCATACTGCCACGTCATCCTCTTAACAAAGACTTTTGGACAATAATTTTTATTTTGGATTTTTAGTTTTAGTTTTTGGTTTTGGTTTTTAATTTTTGATTTTTTACTTTTGGATTTCATAAGTTTGTAAATCTAAAAAATTGTGACTTTTAGTTTTTAGTTGATTTTTTTCATAAAGTAGATTTTTAGATTTTTTAAAAAACCAAATTTAAAAAAATTTGATTGTCAATTTTTTCAATTTTTAAAATTTAAAAACTCCCAAAACCCTTACCATTCAACACCAAAATCTAAAATATCTCTCTTTTAAAATCTGATTGCATGTATATGGACGGTCGAACCAAAATTTTCCACGGGATTTTCTAATAATTGATGGGATTTCCTTACTATATATTGTTACATATATAGATGCCACAGGGAATATTTACATGAATAGATATATAGATATGTAATGTATATTCACATCATATTCCACTAGTGAATTTAACTAATAATTCATGACAGGAAATACCAACGTTTGTCGGACAGTTCACAAAATTACAAGATTCGATATTGGAAATGATGATAATTCGAAATTGCAAACGCGACAAAACAAAGAAATTAATATATATATACATATATAATGCTCATCGACGTCACGATATCTTCCCCACAGTATATAAACATGGGAGGATAGATATCGTGACTTGTGAAGTTCCTATCAATGTAATTTAGTTTCATACATATACATGTATATATGTATAATAGTATGTTATAAATTGGAATATATATATATATATTAACTATGTATTGTCAATTGAGAATGTCTCGATTTGACGAGAAATTACAATCTCACCGTTCTATGGTAAAAAAATATAAATATAAAAAAAACAGTGATATTATACACATTTTGACTTAATAGACTGTACATGTTAAAAATGAAAAATATGTCGTCAGAGGATATAAAGCAATGTTTGCTAATGACGTGGCTTAATTAATTACGTACAACTACTACTAAATGACACGTAAACTCTGACGACATATTTTTCATTGCATTAATTACGTACGTAATGGCGAACATCTCGATGTATGCATGTTGGATTGGATTGGATTATGATGATTACTGGCAAGTAATTTAGTTATGATGACTCGCAACGAAGAATAATAGGTCGATATTTGGCCACGTCCGCATCTACATATTAATCATCATTACATTACCATGATTATGTTTCCTTTAATTTAATCGGCGGTTTTAAAAACGTAATTCAAAAGTATATATTATATGCGTAGCGTATATGTATGATTATATCATGATTACGTACTGTAGTGTTAATGCCTGCATTAGAAACCTCTGTCTCGTGTAGAGGGTTCGATGGAATTTTTTTATGTTATGAATATTTTTATGCGCACAATGGCGAAAATCTATGTGCATGCATGTGAATTTCAATACAATATACATGGGTGCGTGTATATATAGGTATGGTTGTGTGCAAATTTAACGGTAATAATGTAACCATGTAACAAACTTTCGAGAGAATAAAACATCATATTATAATAACCATCAATGGACCTGTAACGTGTATATATATATTAAATATGATCTTATCGAACCAAACCCCAAAAAAAACATCGAAATAATAATAATAATAATTGTGACAACTGCATCAAACGAGAAACTGAAATCGTTCGTCTTGTTGGGTAGGAAAAGTACCATTGGATCCATGGTTGAGTATTTTTTCTGGTAAATTGTTATTAGAAATTCTAATAACATTGTTCAATGCTCCAATGTACGCCTTGACGCTCGAAACAACAATATCTGTCCCCACTCCCATTCCCCTGCGATTCATAATAATCATATGTATCAAAAATCTCAATTAAATCGATCGTTTGCATGGTTATAATTATAATATATATACATGTATATATATATATATATATACAGTAACGTACTCGAAGGTTTGAAGGGGTTCATGGGTTGATGCTATGGAGTGGCAATTTTTTCGAATAGAAACACGAATGGTTGAAATGGAGTCGATGCCTTCTGAAATGCCATCCATGGAGTATTCCAACAATGTAACAGCTTCCTGCGTATACACGTACACTCGCATTTTAATTTACATATTCTCTCACTATCATATAATATGTTATAATGAAACGTGACATATATATACACACATATATATATACACATATATAAAGGAGAAGATGGTGAACTTTAACGATGAGGTCGACGGCTCTGTAGGCGGAATCAATCGGTCCAGTCCCGACAGAGCAAGCGACGTGTTCTTGTCCTTTCCTATCAACTAATGTGACAATAGCCGTTGATCGACTCAATGTCCCAGAACCACAAACCACCTGCAGTTCGCAAATTTAGATTTATATTATAATAATAATAATAATAATAATAATAATAATAATAATAAATGATAAGTCATCAGATAAATTGAGAAAGATAATATAATATGAAGAAGGTAATGACCTGAACTTCTAGAAGCTTCCACGTGGGTTCATCAGATCGACAAGTATCAACATCTGAGACCAATGCCACAAGGTCCGCGTCCGTCACTCTCTGCATCATCCATTAATTGCAGTGTTAAATTTAATTAATAATAATACAAAATAATGACAATAATAATTATAATAATAACCTTTTTGAGTTCAGCCACAGCTTTGAATTTCAAGAAAACATGGTTTAGCTTTGTGTCGTCCATCTCGTAACCCAACTGACCAACCAAACCAATCACGACTTGTTAAACGTTGCACACACCATTTTTAGTATCAACATCTGAGACCAATGCCACAAGGTCTGCGTCCGTCACTCTCTGCATCATCCATTAATTGCAGTGTTAAATTTAATTAATAATAATACAAAATAATGACAATAATAATTATAATAATAACCTTTTTGAGTTCAGCCACAGCTTTGAATTTCAAGAAAACATGGTTTAGCTTTGTGTCGTCCATCTCGTAACCCAACTGACCAACCAAACCAATCACGACTTGTTAAACGTTGCACACACCATTTTTTATATTTATATATATATATATATATATGCATACACCAAGAATATATATGTATTATGTATCTATATATATATACACGCACACCTGTTTGAGTCGTTCTTGAAGAGCGTGACGTCCACTTTGTTTGAACAAACACAAAAAAAGAGAAAAATGGAATCAATTTATATAGCGGTTATATACAAATAATTAAATTCCTTGGTATAGATTGTTTCAAATAATTTCATAAAAAAATATAATAACCTAAGCTTCCCAAGAACAATGCCAAGTTCTTGGGATCGTTCGAGCCCCACGTCTTCCGGCAACATTATCTCGTAAGTGCTTTTGTTTTTGAGCATTCCATCCTTTATAAACAAAACCCATATGAAGTCACATTATAATTATTAATCAATTGATCAATTCAATAAAATGATTTATTTTTCTGCATATAAATTATTTTACGTGGGTTTCTTCGAAAATATCTAACCAACCTGATGGATACCACTCTCATGAACAAATGCATTGGCTCCAACTATGGCCTTGTGCGGCTGAACATGCAGCCCCGTGTGCTCTTCCACCTTCATGTTCATCACAAATTAAATAATAATTAGTATCAAATTAATGTCTATACATGAGTCATGTCTGTATGTATATGTATTCATACACACTATATGTGTATATGTATATGAATAGTATGAATCAGAGACATGTACAGACCAGCTTGCTGGCAGGGACGATGTGTCTCGTGTCAATTCCAGTGTAAAGGCCACAGAAAGCATGCTCCCCTTTGCACTTCAGAGTCATCACAACCTGCACCCACGAATCAATTGATAATCATCTGATGATGATGATGGTGATGTCTGAATATATATATATATACATATATGTATGTGTGTGTATGTATATGTAATGGAACCTCTTCGAGGGATGCGTTTCCACCTCTTTCGCCAATACCGTTGATAGTGACTTCGACTTGTCTTGCTCCGGCAGACGTTCCCTGCATTTATTTTGATATATACATACATATAATATTCATTCATAAATATGTAAAATAAAGGTATATATATAATAGAGAAAAAAAAGAGCGTACGGAAAGAGTATTAGCGGTGGCAAGGCCGAGATCATTTTGGCAATGGGTAGAGATGATGACGTCATCGATACCAGGAGTGTTTGCTTTGATGTCTGATATTAACTCCCCGAATTCGTCAGGCGTATTTATGCCCACTGTGTCTGCGATATTTACGGTCGATGCCCCTGCCTTTATCACCTCTTCCAATATCTTGTACATGAACCCCTTCTCCGACCTGTTCATTTACCCTCATATCCATTTTATTCACATTACATGTGTCCGTATATGTATAAGTAATATATGATATGCTCATTGTTTTATATATTTCAAACCTCCCGGCATCCTCGGCCCCAAATTCCACGTCAGCACAGCCCAAGCTTCTTGCAAACCTGATCATACTCGAAGCCATCTGAATCACTTCCTCTCTCGTCTTCCTCAGCTTATGCTCCATGTGGATATCGCTCGTCGAAATAAACACGTGTATCCTCGGCCTCTTCGCGTGCTTCACCGCCTCCCAAGCCGCCTCCACGTCATCTTTCCGGCACCGCGATAGGCCGCATATCACCGGCACGTAGCCGGTTTCCTCATCGACGTCGTTTCCGACGGTCTGGGCAATGGCTTTCACGGCCTCGAAATCGGCCGCTGATGCCGCCGGAAAACCGGCTTCGATCACATCCACGCCGAGCTCGGCCAGCTTACGAGCGATCAACAGCTTCTGCTCCGTCTGCATGGCGGCGCCGGGTGACTGTTCCCCGTCTCGGAGGGTCGTGTCGAAGACGCGTACGTAGTTCGGGTCGGAGATCCTGTTAGGTATGTATTCCGGACGACGGACGCGGCGGAGATGATTCGCCGCCGCCGACAGAGGAAGTGGAGACATTTTAGCGGCGGCGGAAATGCGGAGGGGCGGCGGTTGTGCGGCGTACGGACGGAGACGGCTGGGGAAAGCGGAGGTTGTGAAGGGTAACGGTGGGCCGGAGACGGTGGTTGGCCAGGAGGAAGTGGTGCCGATGGGGGAGGTTCCTAGCACTGAAGACGCCATTGATGGAGAAACCAAAAGCTATATGTGAGTAAGAGTTGGCTTGTTATGTGACGGACCAATGTCCGTAGATCTATTTATACATGCAAACATATAGATACATAGATACTTGTGTATCTATATATGCGCGAATAGTATGTGTTTGCATTTTTAAGACGGAAGTCTCGCACTTTCTTTTCTTATCTTTATTAAATGTACACAAATATACGCAATATGTATGCATAGACACAATATGTATGCATAGACATGGTGGTATATCCGTAATTTTTACGAATATCTAAAATTACGAATCGCATACGGATAACAAAATTGAATATTTGTGCAGATCAGATACGGATACGGATATCTCAAAAATTCCGGATATCCGATCTGTGTCCACCCCTACTTTATACTATGTCGGAAAAAGGAAAGTGATACAAATGTGTACAGCTAAGATCGAAAAAGAAAAGAAAAAATGTGATGTAAATACGCAGACTGAACGATCGAAGTTTTTCAATCGAATGGGCTAAAATCTATATTTAGAGATTTTCAAGAGTAAACGTCATGTAAGCTCTAATACCATAAAAAAGAAACGAGTGAAAAATCGTTAGATTTTTAGTTATTCAAAATAAATCATTACAATATTTATAGATACGAAATACAATCTTGTTTAATTAATATATATAAAATATCTAAAATATATAAATAAAAATAAATCTAAATATTATGATGGTATTATATGATATTCTTTACATCAATATATTAGAAGATATTTTCCATATATCTTGACAATAACGATTATTCAATTCAACAATGATGTTCCTGGTTCTTGTGTATGGAATGACCATATTGATATATTAACTTAATACAGGAAAATATAGAAATATATCAACAGAATAAGATGTTTACATATAATTTTTTTTAAAAAAAAAGAATTTTGTCATTTTATATATATAGGAGATGGCAATTTTGATTTACCATTGATTATGAATTTGTGTCACTGATCGATTTTTCTGCCATACCGTAGGAATATTATTATGAAACATCATTAATTATGATAATATTTTATGAAAAACGATGTAACACATATCATATTCATGGGAACGACATTAAACCCTATCTATTTGGAATCATAATCATATATATGATTCGAAAGGACAAAAAGATATATATTACAGCAATAATACGATATGATAACAAATATCACATTTCTAGTGGTTGGGTTTCGAAGGAAAGAAAGTTGATGTGTTAGGGTTTCATATTATTCACATTTCTATCTACTTTCATCACAACCCAACTAATTATACACATTTTGTATTTAATTAATTACTTTAGGAGAAAACGTGATAAATATGTTTAGTGATCAGATGGTGATGTAACATCTTTATTATGGTGTCTCATCATGTATCTTTATTACGTCATACATTACACGTATTACGTTATGAATGTACACGTGTCCGAATATTCCCATCCGGACTTAGCGGGACATTTGGCCATCACCAATTTGCAATTATTATTTTGGCCCTTAAGTCAAAGGTTCATTTAATTTAAAATGTTATAATCAAATCATAAATGGGAGATTTACGGTTCGACTGGTTGTATCGCAGTGGTTGTAGCTGTGGATGGCGACGTTTTCAGAGCGTTTGATAGCGATTATGAATGATTAGTACCCACCGATTGATAAATTGTTGTTGGCAGCGATTGTGGGTGAGTACGGTTGGAAATAAATGGTTCGTTGCGGTTGTGGTTGCGTTTGATATATATTATGAAAAAAATATTATTTTAAAATATTTTTTATAATAGTTTAAATTAAATATTTTTAATATCATTTGATAAAAATTATTTTTTTAATAAATTTAAAATATAAATATTATCAATTTAATTTATTTTTAAATAAAAATAATTTTATTATATAAATTATTAAAAATAATCATCATTAAACTTAAAGATTATACTATTGTATTTTTTATTAAAATATAATACTAGAAAATAATATCAAATCATAACAATAAATAAAGTCATCATATATATTGGTATTTTATATAATTTTTAATAAGGATATTTTAGTTTTTTTTTAAAACGCCGAAAACAGCT